GAACTGTCTTCACATTTGTATTGAAAATTCTAACTTTGGTGTTGGTTGACAATTGTTTTGAGCTCCAGATGTTTTTCAGTTGTAAGTATGCTGCTCTTGCTTTGCCGATCCTCGCCCTCACATCTGCATCTGATCCACCATGTTCATCAATGATGCTGCCCAGATATGTAAAGCTTTCCACATCCTCCAAAGCTTCTCCGTCAAGTGTAATTTGATTGGTGCATATTGTGTTGTATTGGAGAGTCTTGCTTTTCTCTTTGTTTATATTGAGACCTACTGCTGCTGAGGCTGCTGCTACACTGGTCGTTTTCTCCTGCATTTGTTGTTGCGTTTGTGATAGAAGAGCCAGATCGTCCGCGAAGTCTAGATCGTCAAGCTGCATCCTGCCTGTCCACTGTATCCTGTGCTTTCCTCCAGTCGTTGACGTCTTCATGATCCAGTCGATCACCAGGAGAAAGAGAAACGGTGAGAGTAAGCAGCCTCGCCTAACACCAGTCTTTACTTCAAACGAGTCGGTGAGTTGTCCTTCGTGAACGATTTGGCAGTTTAGTCCATCATAGGAGTTCCGTATGATATTGACTATCTTCTCAGGCACGCCGTAGTGTCGAAGAAGCCTCCATAGTGTCGTTCTGCCCATGCTATCAAATGCCTTCTTGTAGTCGATGAAGTTGATGTAGAGTGATGAGTTCCATTCGATTGATTGTTCCACAATGATACGTAGAGTTACGATTTGATCTGTGCACGACCTATCCTTACGAAATCCAGCTTGTTGATCTCGAAGTTGGGCGTCCACAGAATCCTTCATCCTGTTTAACAGTACTCTGTTGAAGACTTTTCCTGGTATTGAGAGAAGATTGATGCCTCTGTAGTTGTTGCACTTGCTAAGATCGCCTTTCTTCGGTATCTTGATCAGAAGTCCAGTCTATTGGTACTTGTTCTTCATCGCAAATCTTACTGAAGAGGATGTGGAGTATCTTGGCAGTTGCTGCTACATTTGATTTCAGTGCCTCTGCCGGGATGTTGTCTGGTCCCGCTGCGTTGCCACTCTTGATTTGTCTAATGGCCATGCTGATCTCTTCAATTGTTGGTGGGCCAACATCGATTGGGAGGTCTGTGGGTGCTGCTTCGATGTTGGGTGGGTTCAGTGGAGCTGGTCGATTTAAGATTTCTTTGAAGTGTTCTACCCACCTGTTTCGTTGTTCTTCAATGTCGGTGATTACTTTGCCTTCCTTGTTTTTCACTGGTCTTTCTGGTTTACGGTAATTTCCAGCAAGTTTCTTTGTTGTATCATACAGTTGTCTCATGTTTCCCTCTCTTGCAGCCTTTTCTGCTGTCATCGCTAAATCTTCCACATATTTACGTTTGTCGGTTCTGATGCTCCTCTTCACTTGCTTGTTTGCCTCTGTGTATTCGGCTTGTGCCTTGGCTTTTTCTGCTCTTGTTCGGCTGATATTGATTGCTGCCTTCTTGTTCCTCCTTTCTTCAATTTTATCCAGTGTACCAACAGTGATCCATTCCTTGTGATGGTGCTTCTTTTGGCCCAGAATCTCTTGACATGTTGAAACGATTGCCTCCTTGATACCTTTCCAGTTGCTCTCCATGGTAGTTCCCTCTCCATTGAGTAGATCATTTAAAGCCTCGAACCTGTTGCTGAGGGCTATGTTGAATTTGTTGAGTTTGTCAGCATCTCGAAGAAAAGTCGTATTAAACTATTGTGATGTTGTCCGCGCCGTTGTCCAGTGCTTCTTAAGTTTTAGTTTCATCTTGGCGACCAGCAAATTATGATCGGATGCTATATCAGCTCCTCTTCTGGTTCAAACATCCTCCATCGTCCTCCTGAACTTTTTGTTGATGCAGATATGGTCGATTTGATTCTGTGTAATGTGATCCGGTGAAATCCAAGTGGCTTTGTGTATGTTTTTGTGTGGGAATATGGTGCCACCTATGACCAGTTTATTGAAGGCACATAGGTTTGCAAATCTCTCACCATTTTCGTTCCTTTCTCTCAGTCCATGTCGTCCCATGACGTTTTCGTATCCAGTGTCGTCCTTTCCAACCTTGGTATTGAAATCTCCCATCAAAATGGTCAGGTCCTTGGTTGGGCACTTCTCGAAGATCGACTGCAGCCTATCGTAGAATTGGTCTTTAGCGTCTTCATCGTAGTCGTTGGTAGGCGCATAGCATTGGATGACGTTCATTGTAATGCCCTCTCTCTTTGTTCTGAAGGAGGCTTTGATGATCCTTGGTCCATGAGATTCCCCATCCAATAAATGCATTTTGTGCTTTTCTGGACAGCATCAATGCAACTCCTTGTGTATATGGGGCATTTTCTTCTTCATGACCGGAGTATAACAGAAGTTCTCCTGAAGACAGTCGTTGTTGTCCAACCTGCGTCGAATGTGTTTCGCTGATTCCAAGAACCTCCAGGTTGTATTTTCTCATTTCTGCAGCAATTTGAAAGACTCTTCCGGTCTCCCACATTGTCCGGACATTCCATGTACCTATAAAAACTGTTGCTCTGGTTGTAAGAAAGTGTATCGCACTCATGACTTCCGAAGGAACTCGGCTTTCATCATGAGACGTCATAATTATTCCTTCTACTCCCAGGGCAGAGTTTGAAAGGTTTGAATGATTTTTTCTGGTTAGCGTTTTTTTAGCGAGTTGATTTTCTGCGGGATGGGGTCGCTAACCCCATGCCCAACCCTCCTCCTTCGTGTGGGCTTGGGACCGGCAGTAACCCCCAGAGGAGCTACAGGCGGAGTTGAATGCACGAGATATACATATTCAAACTTAATCCTCGTATTTGACTTACTTAATTTCGTTATTCACTAACGCGACCTTAGTGAACGATTGTATACGAGGGTAGCATGGATGTGTATTTAGATAACAGTTTTAATAAGATCCAATTGAAGTCAAATGCAGGGCCACCAAAACACGACCTGTGTTTTCTGAAGATCCACAAGAATTTTTCCATTCAACTTCTAGTGTCGACGCCTTCTCTCCAAACGTCGAGGTCTTCGCCTTATCGTGAGTGTGATCGATAAATTCTGTCGTCTCATTTCGGTTTTATTTTGATGGGTGATACGAAGCACCGCAAATACACTAGCTAGAGTGTTGCTGGAATTTCTGTGAAGTGTAAATTCTTGTTATGCCTTACCATATTTGATTGTGTTCTATAGTCTGCCATGGTTTATGTGTATTACAGCAAGTCTTGCCCCCGTGTTTTAAAATGCTTAGCAATGCTACTGATTATGAGGGTAACCATGATCTGAAACTAATGAGCGTATATTGTCTTTCTGGATAATTTCAAATATCGAGTAATGGGTACAGATAAATGTTGTATTTTATGGTATTAAACCTTATGTAGAGATGCCTGTTAACTTGTTTAAACCCTTGCACACTATAAAATATATTTGAAAGTGGTTATTATTATATATGTTCATATTAATGAAGCTAGTGTTAAGGGTGGCTACAGTGGATTCCATTACGAAATATGCAGAATGAGCTATGATGAGGGAATATATGGTATATCTGTTTAAAAACTTGGCAAAAAAGTATGTTCCTGACATAGCGCTCTATGAATACTGAAGGAGCACAATGACGCGACTTAAAATAACTTGGTGGCCTACCAACTGCGAATTGTGAGGTGACGGGCTGTTTTGTATGATATATGACTGCGTGATAACCACGTAACTTTTACGTTGTGTCAATGGAATAGTTTGCCATTGCTAAGAGATGTCGAACTCGCGGGACAAAGTAGAGTTAGCTGCAGACATATTGAAGGTTGACTAATTGTTTCAGAAGTGTCTACAAAAGTACCTACTATCCCCATGAGGTCATCAAATAGGGTTGATGAAGCATCGCAACTTAAAGACGGGTGTTGCGGCCGTAGCGTCAAGTAATAAAACTGGCATTTTATGGCTTCTAAAGTCAGTAGAAGCTTGCAAAACATTGATGAAGGGGTTAGGAAAGTCATGGTATGCACTAAAGGTGGTATTATTAGGGGATATATTTTTAAGTTCTGTATCGTCGAAGGTTCGGAATGACTACCATAATCACAGATAGACTAGAGGGCAGACATAACACTGTGAGCCCCATCCGTTACTTATGATAGATCAGTTCACTAAGTTGACCAGCAAATGAAATTATCTATGGAGCTGTTGTGGCGAATAGAGTGTTTTATGGGCCCGACGTGAAGTCCAGTGAATCACAATGAATAACTACACATCACTTGAAACGATACAGAAATCCAAAATGCGATAGATTGAACAAAACAACAGTCGCTAAATGTCATAATAAAAAACCATCCTATTCGACATTTTTCTACAGTCCACTGTACTCATCTATTTATAATCATTATGTTCAATTCATTCATAATGAAGCCAATTAAAATTGTAAATCATCACCGTCGATGATCTCTGTCGAATAATAGGAGACCTACTGGAGTTAGACGGGAATAGTGTGACCAAGAGCTAACGTTGAAGTCACACCTCATGGTCAGCACCTAACGTAGATTACCCTTTCGTTGTATCAAGGTAGTATGCATGCTTTGAAACCGTATAACACAAAGAACGTTGAAGATACCACCAGTATTGTAGTTTGACAACACTTTACCGGCAACACCTTCTATAATCCAATCGCATCCACCCAGTAGAATCAAAACTCAGAAGCAAGGATGTTGGAAGATATATTTGATGGGTTATCAATACGTCGAGAAGTGACTGATCTAATGTGGCTAATGATCGTAGGATATGTTTCGCACGCCGTTCTGAAACTTGATCTGGTACGGATGCATGATCGAGAGCCTTCAGCTAAATGAGTCCACTAAAACTAATGTGGTCACCATCCAATGTCGAACACTTACAGAGCTATTGATTTGGGGGATTTATTTACAGTTACAACGTTATTAAAGAAACATTAGTTAAAGTATGTACAAGCGAAAGTGTGATAAACACCGAATGGGATAGTCCATGACGTAAGGTTAATTGATCGGTTATTTACGACTGTGACAGGGATCGATAATCTGTTCGATAATCAGTGACCCAACTGTCGGATGTTTTGGCTAGGGCTCACTGACATTTCACTGGCCCTACAAAATGGATGTTTTTGAACATTAAAGAATTTCGCCATGATCTGATGTAAAACTGGTGTATATTAAACAAATGATTGGTTCAAGTGTTCAACAGAATTTTCGTGATAGGTTAAGGAACTAGTTCCCGCTACATTTAGGCGCCAGGTCCCTAGCTCGCCATGCCTCCCAAGCTTGATCCTACTGCCGTCACTTATTGTAAGCTGGATAGTAATTTCTCACACATTCTCAGGTTACCTAAGAGTTATTGGTGGTGAGGTTGGTGCAACATCGTCTTTAGCGCCGAAGATCGGTCCTCTTGGCTTATCTCCTAAAAAGGTCGGTGACGATATCGCAAAAGCCACTCAAGAATGGAAAGGTCTTCGTATTTGTGTCAAATTGACTATCCAAAATCGACAAGCGACCATCAGTGTTGTCCCTACCGCTTCTTCTCTTATAATTAAAGCCCTTAAGGAAGAGCCTCGTGATAGGAAGAAAGTGAAGAACATTAAACACAATGGGAATTTGACATTTGATGAAATAATAGAGATTGCACGAATAATGAGGCCTAGAAGTATCGCTCGTGAACTTTCTGGAACAGTAAAAGAGGTTCTGGGAACGGCACGATCGGTTGGCTGTACAGTTGATGGAGAGTCCCCTCAAGTCATGATCGAAAAAGTAAATGCCGGGGAAATATCGGTACCTGCAGCGTAGATGCAAATAAACTTTTGGTATGTGATGATTATGCTGTTTTTCTTGGGATGGATTTAGTCGCGTTAGGTTTCGTCATAGTGCATATGTAACTGTATACCTTGGAGGTATGGAATTCAGGTACTTTGGGTTGCTTTCATATGTCCCAGTATTATTACGTAACTGTTTCTCTCTGTTTGATCCTACTATCTACCTGCAAGGACTAGGTTTTCACGTATTTTTAGTAGGGTTATTACATATTTCATTGTTCAGATTTCGTTGCATACAGTGAGTTGCTTTTAAAAGACGTTGAGTCGTGCCAGGTTAAGGAATGTGAGTTCCTTTCAGTCTCAAACTCGTGAGCGTTAGTCGGGGTCTCTATGTTTTTAGTACGAACCTCGCTACCGAATCCCACCCACAAATGTTGAATGAAATTATTTTAGTAACAAGGGTTCATTCTGTCGATGCGTGATTCTACGTTAATGTTTGATCGCAATTTGACTACAGGTTGATATTTCAGCAGCTCATTGTGTCTGGCGTTCTACCTACTGGTTAAATATCATGTATTAGTTTGTAGATATCCCAATCACCTTGTACTAATCAGTCAATATTGTACAGGTAGAGTTCTATCTAGTAACTTTAGAAACATCATCAGGATAGTCCTTTTCGTGTCTCATAAAGCATGCCGAATTATTAAGTATCGCAGTTAAGTAGGTACAGCGTTCGCAGTTGACTCACACATAGTGCTGAAGCTAACTTGAGTTTATGAGCTCTTCTATTTTCTAGATTTGTTAATGATATAGTGTTCGTATGAAGTCAATATGTCGGGCTAGTGTCATTAAGATATTCTAAGTCTTCAAATATGCTAACATAATGGTCAAAGACTAATCCATGTGTCATTTATAAACAAGACTAAAATGGTTGCTTTTTAAGCTTATTACAGGATTTAGGATATAAACCACATTTTAATAGTAAACTGGTATGACGCAAAAAGCGGTTGGACGAAGTATATTCATGGCATCCCTATTCAGCGAACTGTAAAATACGTTGGAAGTGTCTAAATGCAAATTAAGAGGCAATAAATTTGTCAATAATTTCCGCTGGTATCAACAAATTGTCCATTCTAGGGACTTCGTGTTATTTATGTCACTGGATAGTACTGTAAGCACATTAGTGAATATTGTCATTAGTACTGTATTTGTGTGCTGCTCAAAGTGAAATTCATGAACCCACAACAAGTAGATGGATTTGTTGCGATTTCTATAATAGCCTTGTGTGCAATTATTGATTGTTTCATATCAGTCATTGGTTGAATCTTACCGAACCCATCCGTCAGTTTGTTTCATTACGTTTATCCAATTGCATTTCAATCAAAAACCAACTGTCAGATCGGATCATACAAATATTCATTGTTTGGCTAGAAGCTTTCCACTGAAATTTCTCGTAGTGGGTTCACCGTAGCCGTTGTTCACGAACAAGATATATTTTTGCATCAATTTACCACCAGATACTCCGGACTTACCTGCACGAAATAGAATCTAATGACGAACGACTGGATATTGTGACAAATATCTACTGGATTTCGTTTTTTGAACGCAGCCAAGTCCGAGTTCTGTTAGAGTTTCGAGGGATGTTGTCACTTCACTTCCCTAAACCATTTAACCATACTTCTTGAGGGACCTGAAAAAGAAACTGGTTTAGAAGTGTTGGTTGCCTTGAACGTGACGGTAGCATCCGAGTGTCAATATCTGCGAGGATGATTTCTCAGTCTTTGGTAGGCAGTTTTAGATGGGTCAGGATCGAGATATCAGACTACTGTCGGCTGTGTAGGTCTGTTAAAATGAGATAAGATGTCCTACTTCTTAGGGTAGAAATTTTCTACCTCATTCTTTCCTCTGTAAGAAGGCAGTACCACTCCTGATATTGGTTGTGGTAAACTTCTTACTTCCACCACTCTCGTGTACGGTCAACAGTCAGACTTCGCCTTCGTACCTGTTTTTGATCTTGCTGTTCGCTAGTCGACCCGCCTAGTATGTTAAGTTCTATGGAAACGAGCCAAATCGGTCATTAAGATGGACAGACCTAACGTCCTTATGGTAACGAATGCTGTCGTAATACAGAGATTTATTCCTCACCGGGTGGGTGTCAAAAGCATGGTAAGTAGGGCCTATAATTGTTCCGATCAGGTTGATAATTGGCTATTATAGGAAATATGTTTCATTGCTTTTTAACACTGATAAGCTGGTTGTCGTGGTTACAATTAAATTTCAAGTTTTCGTTCCCGAGTACCGTATATCTTATGAAACGGGTTAAGTAGTTACCAAACATGTTTTTTGCGTACATTTATTACTGGTATATAGGACTAAGATCTAGATAGGACAAAATTATCTTGCAGTTCAGGATCACGTATCAAGTATTGGACAGTTATTTGGAAACATTACGTACTTTACAGTTAAGGCATACCTCTTACAGCACTATCACTGAACGTTAGTGGGGTAAATAATCAAGAAATTTGTGACTCTGAAGATGCTCTATTCACGTTGTTTTCTAGGCAAATTATTTCCCTTTTACAGGTTTTAACTTATCGGTGTTGTTCACCAACGTTTATGCAGTGATCGATTGTCATAAATTAGCTTTTGAAGAGCTTTGCTTAAAAAATTGTGAAGTGGTGTGATTTTTGGGAAGGGTGATAATCCTTTTGCGTTTATAGGCTTCATATCCTTTGTTGACTATGAGAAAGCTGTTATGGAAGCTAATAACTGAGTGAAATAATTCTACTAGGAACTTTCACTTTAGATGAAACCTAGCGAAGATAATGGAGACTTCTATTCACAGTCAACGTGCATTTTTCTACAATTGGTATTATGGTTATCTTCTTTGTCCAACTATAACATGATTTTATTTTATTTATTTAATCACATATATATTGGTACAAAGGGCACCGGATGCATATGCGCCACACAAAATAATGAGAATGGGAGAAGAAAGAAGATGCGTATATATAAAAGAAGGAAAAAAAAGAAAAGGAGAAGAGTAATGATGGGGAGAACTGAATGTACAACCAGAAGAGCTCTCTCAGTTAGGAAAGTTATAGCCACTCTTTATGTAGAAAGTAAAAGAAGGTTGCAGCAGGATCGCCACTGGCTTCTATTCTGAGCCATATCTGATAACGTCTCTAGCCACTGTGTTGCACCATCTCTCGGACCCCAGCCAGGGAGTCGTGAAGGACCAACAGAAGCTAGCCCTTTGCAGCTCTCTTTCATGCCACGACACCATGTCATACACTGACCTCCTCTCCGCTTTTTCCAACCAGTCCCAGAGTCGGCAAATAATGCACGACGTGGGAGTCTCTGGGACGACATTCATAAAACATGTCCAAGCCACCGAAGTCGGTGTTTCAAGATGGTGGCACCAATTGAATTATCGTCTCTGCGCCCGAACACACAATGCCGAACCTCTGCATTACTAACATGGTGTTGCCACTGAATGTCAGCAATCCTTCGGAGACAACGATGATCGAACACAGAGAGACGTCTAACATCCTCAACTCGGAGAGGCCAGGTTTCACAAGCATAGGGCAAAACTGCTCTCACCGACGCGTTGTAAATCCGACCTTTTACAGCCAGACTAACATCACGAAGGCGCCAAAGATGGCCCAGATTGGAATAAACCGCTCTGGCTTTCCTTATACGTGCATCAATCTCATCACTCACGCCACCACCAGCACTTATATAGCTACCTAGATACACGAACTTCTCAACTACTTCAATCTGCTCACCATCCAGGGTGAGTACAGGATGAGGATCCTGCCAGTCTTGTAGGAGTACTTTGCACTTGGAGGGTGCAAAGCACATGCCGTACCTGCGGACACTGATTGCCAACTGATTAAGTGCGGATTGCATGCCTTGGGCATTATCGCACAGTAAGACAATATCATCCGCATACTCGAGGTCGAGAAGTCGTTCTCCAGGCAACATATCCACACCGCCATTACTTACATCCATCAGAGCTGTTTCCAGGATGTCGTCGATAGCAAAGTTGAAGAGGAATGGTGAGATTGGGCAACCCTGCCTAACCCCACTGCTCGAATGGAACAAGGGAGAAAGGTGGTTGTATGCCCTCACTTTACCTGAGGTGTTCGTATACAGGGCCTTTAAGATGTTACTGAACTTCTCAGGCACACCCTTCTTCAATAGACAATCCCAGAGAACAGTCCTGTCCAACGAATCGAAGGCAGCCCTGATATCAAGAAATACTACGATTGTTGGCCTGCGATAAGTATGACGGTGTTCTAACATTTGGCGGAGGGTGAAGATGTGATCAATGCATCCTCGACCAGAACGAAAACCAGCCTGCTCCTCGCGAGTCAATCGTTCTCGGGTTTTAAACAACCTACGAAGAATGACAGAAGCCAATAGTTTGGACGCATTCGGAAGTAGACTTATCCCCCGATAGTTGTTACAGGAACAACGTGAACCCTTTTTGAAGATAGGGACGACTATCTACTCATTCCATGATGTTGGAACACTTTCTTGCTCCCAAACCTTTGCAAACAATACCGTCAGTTCCTTAGCCAGAAAGTCACCACCATCTTTAAAAAGAGCCGGAGGTAAGTCATCTGGGCCCGGTGATTTGTAACGTTTCAAGAGTTGGAGTTCCTTGCGGACTTCCGCCTCGTTTGGTGGATCAGTCGTCACCGGCCATGGGGGGCAGGACAAGCTGGTTGATGTTGCCGGAGCAGCAGGCCAGTTGAACTGCCCTTCGAAAAATTCTGCTCATCGTCCAAGACGTCGAGAGATATTAGTGATTGGCATCCCGTCATCCTCGTAGATTGTTTCACTCACACCAGGCTTCTTGCTGTCTGTGGCTCGGATGAGTTGGAAGAGCTTCCGGCAGTTACCAGATGCAGCTGCTGCTTCCATCTCATTAGCACGCTCCGACCACCAGGCTTCCCGGTCCTTACGCAAGCTTTGCCCGATTTCATTACGTAACAGCCTTCGTTTTTGGTCAAACTCACGGTCACCCGGAGTAGACCGACGGG